TTTTTTTTTTTTTAATCAGCGCAGTTCACACCTCACATATTTTCTTGTCTGATTATTTTGTACATGTAGTGTGAATCGGGACGTACACTTTATCAAGAATTTCCGTTGTTCACACAAGATAAAATTACTTTAAGAATTGGGCTGCCTGTATCAAAATAATGAGCAATCGAGGAACGCCTGACAGAAACCGCACTTCCAAGAATCGATCGGAGTTATGCATCAGTCAATTGAAACCCCGGCCCCCAACCCCCGGGGAGGGCCGGGGAATTAACACATTTTATCCGGGGATTTAGCGCTGTTTTAACAGCATAAATCCAAGGGGGGCAGGGGAATTAACAGATTTTAAAAATAGCCGGGATTTTACCGGGGACATTAACACTGGCCGGAGACTGGGCCGAAGATCGTGAAAAATTAGTGAGACTGGAAACAATAGTGTCATGCATCCAAAACGGCTGCCAACAACTTGCACGAACATAAGGTACGGTGAAACGTACACTTTTTTGAAGTTTTTAAACATGCTTATGTGTTTTAAAGTAAACAATTAATGAACTTGTTTATTTTTTACTATTTGTTGGCTTTTTTACTTATTTCTGTCTTCATGAGCTCATGAATGTCCTAATAGTGCGGGGCTTCCAGGGCCGGGCATTTAACAGCTGTTTCACCCCCGAGGGCTGGGGAAAACACGTTACTTTAACAATTGCCAAATGTTAATTTCCCCGGCCTTTCCCGGGGGTTGAGGGGCCGGGGTTTCAATTGACTGATGCATTATAAACGAGTTGTTTGCTGTAATTAGCCTTCTTTTTGCTATTTCTTCGCTTAATCGTTAGTCGCCTTTACTATCGTCCTAAAATTATTCAATTGAAGAATCAAAATATGGAGTCTTCAAACTGGCAAACACAATTTTCTACTCTCAGAGAACGTAGTAAGTACGCGTTCGACAATTCATTGTTCTGTGATGTCGAGTTCTCGGTTACAGACGGCGATGGAAACAAAGTCACCATTCCATCCAACAAGTACGTGCTGGCTACCACCAGTCTTGTCTTTGGTGCCATGTTTTACGGTCATCTAGCCGAGAATAAACCAACTATCGACCTACCAGACTGCACTAAGGAAGGACTACGAGAAATGCTTCGTTATGCACATTGTGAAGAAGCTAATATAACCGGGAGTAACGTAATGGAGTTACTCTACCTCGCCAAGAAGTACATGATGCCATTCCTAGAAAAGAAATGCAAAGAATATCTCGAGACTGAAGTTGGTCCAGAAGATGTGTTCATTGTTTTACCACAAGTACAGAAAATGGGAGATGAAAACCTTCAAGAACACTTATGGGAAATTGTTGACAACCAAACTGATCGAGCCATTTCTTCTGAATCATTTCTGGATGTATCTAAAGAACTGCTTTGCCAAGTGCTCAAAAGAGACACTCTTAGTGCATCTGAAGTGCACCTTTTCGAAGCTGTAGATAAATGGGCCTCCAAGCAGATTGATAAAAGAGAATTGGTTTGTGAAGGTGAAGAAAAAAGAGCCATTCTTGGAGAAGATCTCATCCGACTGATTCGATTTCCACTTATGTCTCAAAAGGAGTTTGTTGAAACTGTACTTCCCCTTAAAGTTCTCAACATGGATGAAGTAACAGAGGTGCTTCAAATCTTTGCTGACATAAATCCTGCGGCGAACATCTTTAATAAGAGAAGACGACAATTCAATCCTGTCGTTGTGATATCAAGGTTTAGAAATTTTACACGAGGTCAATGGGATTACAATGGAACACCAGATGTCATACACTTTACTGTCAACAAAAATGTCAATCTGGTTGGTGTACGATTATTTGGCAGCGAAGGCTCCAACTACGATGTGGCAATGAAAATCTACGAATACAATTGAAGTGAATGCCTTGCCGAGTTATCGTCCTCGTTCATGAGTGAAGAGATAGATGGTTTGTACTATGGATTCACGGTTACCCTTGATAAACCTATGTGTCTAGTCTCTGGCCAGGTGTATGTATTGGACGCTAGAATTAGAGGACGAAACTCATATCATGGAATCGAAGGTCAGGAAAGTGTACCTGCTGGAGATATTGTAGTAACTTTCTCTACTGCTTCTCCGTCTATAAACGTTACTAGTGTTACCGAAGGTCAGTTTCCTTCGCTTATTTTACAACATCAGTGATTTGAAAATATTACTTTGTATTCTGAGGCGATTTGATAGCAGATCATTTAGTCACAAACGAACAATTTTCTCTTATTTTTTTGTTACAAAGAATAGAATGTAGTTATACACGCTTTCATTCTTGAGCGCTGGCTCATATTTCATCGCCAAGATAGCTCACAGTGGACATCAATTCATACGCTGTGTAGAGTGAAGTTGGGCTTGTTAGCCACTAGCATAATAATTTTAGCATTGGGTCATTGTATATGCACGAGAAAAAGAAGTTTTAGCTTTTGGTCATTAGTCGGGCTAGCCGTAGGCATAGTTCTACCTTCTCTTCAATCAATCAATCTATCAATCAATCTATCAATCTATCTATCAATCTATCAATCTATCAATCTATCGATCTATCAATCTATCAATCTATCAATCTATCAATCTATCAATCTATCAATCTATCAATCTATCAATCTATCAATCTATCAATCTATCAATCTATCAATCTATCAATCTATCAATCTATCAATCAATCAATCAATCAATCAATCAATCAATCTATCAATCAATCAATCAATCTATCAATCAATCAATCAATCAATCTATCTATCTATCTATCTATCTATCTATCTATCATTAGTTCATTAGTGAGTTCGACTCTACAATGAAAACTAAATATTTTAATCTATGGAAACATGTTTTGCATAATTCACCTAAACTCTCCTTTTATGAAACATTTAAAGAATATTATGAAGAGGAAAAATATTTTGATATATTAAACAATTTCGAAGAAAGAAGACTTTTTACAAAATTTAGAATTAGTAATCATAATTTAGCAATCGAAACAGGACGATACTCGAACCCAAAAATTTTAAGAGATGAAAGATATTGCCTTCTATGCAACAACAATAAAGTTGAAACAGAACAACACATGATTTTTGAATGCCCAATTTATTCTGATCTTCGCACTAAATTAAAATCAAAACTTGAAAGAAAAATCGACTTATCAATTAACAACTCAAACCTTCTAATGAAATCTGAAGATGATGAGGTTATTTTCTATTTATCAAAGTTTATATGGAAATCTTTTAATCTACGAAATGAGCACCTCTCGAATATGTAATCCATTGGTACTTCAATTAATTTATCTAAAAATAAACAACATTTATTGAACATTTATTCTCATTAAAATGAACACAATTGAAAAAAAAATCATTCAATAAATATCACTTGTTACTGTTCTATATATATATATAAACACCTGATTATGATTATTTTAAAATGTCACCTATAAGAATATAAATATATATAT